TATACTGTTCTGGTGTGAAGAACTAGACTCTTTGTCATTGAGTACGATCGTATAAATGCCCTTGTTTAGATATGTTCGTTCATGTGAAAATCACGTAGTGGTTTCGTGAATTTCATGTTCATGTGTTTAGTCGACTTTTTAATTGAGTGATTTCTTCGATTTTGGTTTCTGAAACTCAATCTTTTGGTAAAATTATTTCAATTTTGATTTATACAAAAAAATATCGCTGATGGTTCTTTTTAGCGCATTTTCTCATTTATGGAAAAATGCACTATTGTGCTCGCCATGTCCGTCTTTCTTTCCGTTTGTCCGTCCGTCCGTGACCTCAAGTTTTCATCGACGAGAAAATGCTCTCTCTGTCACTCACTGCAGTGAGTACTGAGATATATTTTTTTTCAAATGTCCACTATCCTCGTCCCGACTATTACGACTTAGTCCAGAGTTTTATGTTGCTAGTTCGGTCACGTTGTTAGGGGAGTTGCACGTTATCGGACACATGAGCTTCATTAACATGTATATGGAAGAGAGTGCAGCTTGGTGGGCTAGTGCCCTGTAGCTGCTATGCTTTCGTGTTGCCATATGTGTCGTTCGTTTGAAAATAAGGTTCGAAAATAATAATAATAATAACAAGTAAATAACAGATTTTGTCTGCGTGCACAATTTTTTTTTATTTCTTCATCTCCTTCGGTCTAAAACTAAACTAAATTGGTGAATATCATCTCATTTCTTCTCTAACTGCAGTAGACTGACGTAGGCACGCACAATTAAATCAGTTTCATCTGTTGATTGAAGTTAAGAAACAAATGAGCAGCTGGTGTGTTGTAAACCTGTTGTGCTAGCCGCTGGTCCAGTATAGGGTAGGGGGTGACGTGTACGTATACCTCCCGGTCAAGGTCAGCTGCATCGCTACAATCTCAAGCTTTAATTTTCTGTACACTAGAATGTATGTCTCGCGTTCTTGATAAGTTCTAAGCGTCGTTTGCAAGGAATCAAATTTAATAGTTTCATCTAGAGTGTCAAATTATTAACAGTTCATTAATTTAAAATGCGGCGAAATATCAAGAGCAGTGATTAGTTGATTTATTGAGAGCTCAGTGCTATGAGCATGGGCTAATTCCAAGATTTATTTTAATCCAGAACTTTTTAACTGCAATTTCCATTGATGCAGCTGATAAATTTTTTTCTAAACGTCTCAGCATTGAACCATTTTAAACTTAACCGTTATTTTTGAAATTCGGTTTTCCTTCAGTATAAAGCGATTACAATCGAATTATTTGCTCGGGCATATTGGTGTAAATCACTCATTGAATTTTTGCCGTAGATGCATATAGAACGTGAGAAACCTTTTATCCATACTTCGCCTGAACTACCTGTGCCGCTACAGAGGCAGCACATTCCGTATGTTGGTTTCGCAACAAAAGCTTCTCAATGTGAAAGCTGCATGCCATGCGTGCTGTGAACGCGACGATGCGTGCGTAGGGAGAGGAGGTTGCTCACTGACAATTGTATGACGTCATCTCTATGTAAGGCTCCTATATGCCATGGCGCTCTCGTGTACCATCCTACCAGGCAAACGACGTTAAAACCACGTTTAATCAACGTTGATTCAACGTCGTTTGCGTGCTGGGTTACGTTAAAACAACGTTTAATCAACGTTGATTCAACCAAAAAACGTTTATTTCAATGTTGATTCAACGTCGTTTGCGTGCTGGGTTACGTTAGAACAACGTTTAATCTACCCTGATTCAACCAAACAACGCTCATTTCAACGTTAATTCAACATCGTTTGCGTGCTGGGGTACGTTGAAACAACGTTTAATCAACGTTGATTCGACCAATTAACGTTTATTTCAACGTTGATTCAACGTCGTTTGTCTGGTAGGTTGTGCCTGCTAAAACGCAAATAGTGCGTCGGTTAATTTTCATACTTGCAATCAAACATTTACTTGAGTATATAGTTAATAACCCATTGTATTGCAATGCGCATATGTTTCCTCCACAAAGTTTTGTGGAGAGCGAGTTTCTACTTGTGCAAACAAAGCTGTTGTTTCTTTGTTCAATCGGGAAAATTTGCCGTCTGATCGAGCGAGTGCACTTTTTGATGTGATTTATCACATTATTTTCGTTAAGCATCTTAATTTCTTACTGATAGCAGTGAAAAAAACAGATTGCATTTCCCATCATCGTTAAGTGACTCGTCAGATTTTTCTAAGTAGTGTGCTTTTTCTGCCCCCTTTCAGAATGTCGCCGGCATTGTTTACAAATTTTTGGGCATCAGTGTTCCCGGCATAATCATTTTTTCCCCTTGTCGGTCAGGTGTCAAATCAGTTGGCATTTCTGTAAGTGCCTGCGAGCGCTTTTATGTGGCCTGTTAGGCATTTTATTCTGTGAAGAACAGGTTTCTTGCCCCGCGGTGGGGCAACTGCAATCATCCGACCCTGAGATTTCTCGCCCAGTGTTTTGATACCCGCGAAATGCTTGCTGAGAGAACTGCATGTTTATCTTGTTTGCGCGTAACACTCTACACATTCGCTCAATTCATTTCATTTGCATCGGATGAGAGTCTATTCACTTACCCTCTGCCTCTCAGTTGGCCTTTTGATTTTTATAGCCGTCCGACTTTCATAGCCTTTGCGGGAAAGAGATGTGTTATAGTATCGATCTCTGGTTGTATATGAAAAATATTTCATACTCGTATCCGTAGCTTGTCAGAGCTGCAGGTCATGGTTGCGTAATCCAGATCGAATCTATTAGAGATAAACTACTAACTAAGACGTTTAGCTGATGTTAAATTTCAATTTTATTTATGATCATAGACTTATTAATACTCAAGTTGTAAAAAGGTGAATTCGCAAAACCGTCCTTAAAAATCATAAATAGATTACACGAGTACAGCACGGAAATTGTGCCGAATATGGTCATCACGCCGTATGGCGAGATGAAATGGTCACCATATTCACTAGTCACTACGGCGAGTGAATCTGGTCATCAAAGAAAATTCTTAAGTTTTAACGGAGCAGGGATCACCCGCAATGAGTCACGACGAATGATATGCTAGTGAAGTTCAGGGCCCAAACTTTAAAAAAAAGTTAAGAGATCGTAAGTTCATCAGCCAATCATTGACGGCAATGAAGCAAAATCCACCAATCATAGACAAGAAAATAGAGCGTTAGTATTTACGTTCACTTAGCAAGTTTTGAAAGTATGGCCCCTGACTTCGCGTCGTCATCCCCGGAAGGTGCTAGCACAAGTGTCCCTGCAGCTGCACTGCCGCAGCTGCTTCCATTCTCTATTCTCTGCTGTTGCTTCCTGTCGTGACCTCACTTGATAACGACAAATGCTGCATGGCTCGTTGAACTTCTCAAAAACATCCAAATCTATATTTCGACCTCGTTGAAATGTTTTTTTTTTTTTGCGAATTTGTCTCATTTTGACTTGTTTGCGACTGTGGTTTGATCTCTTTTGTCGCCCGAAAAGCGATGAACTCGTTTTATTAGTATCGAATGTCATTCTGTGAATGGCGAATTGCAAGCTTGGTGTCTCTATGTCCTATTGTTCTATTAAAAAGTGAGCTATAAAATCATCCGGCAACCGATAAAGCTCCCATATTACTGCTCATGACTGTAGAGTCCCGAAGCTAGATGCACACAAAATAGAAAGTTATGGGGTCTATTCCTCCTTTGAACGCAATTACATCCATGTTTCGTTAGTCAGATTAAAGCTGTCGCGAGAAAGTCAAATTAAAGATAACATTTCCCATCATCGTAAAGTGACTCGTTAAATTTCTCTAAGTAGCGTGCTTGAATCAAATGAGTAATTCCTTCACTAAATAGTCAGCTTTTTCTAACATACAACCACTGCAATTTAGAGTGAGAGTTAGGCGGTAAGTTCATGTGTGTGACGTTCATTAATTGCAGTGCAGCAATGCATTGCTCGTCACGTACGTTACAGTTATTTTTCTCAGTGGAACACCAGCATGTGTGGTAATTATACCGTTAGCCAAAACTTTAGGTGCGGTTTTCTCAAATGTCCTGCTTTCGTTGTTATTGCAATCTATTTTGGGGTTCTTTTTATCAGTCAATTGATGCTCGTTCCACACGTTCAGTTGATTCAATTAACTGAACTCATAATCCCAGAAACTAAAAAAAACTAAAACATAATAAACTGAAGTAAATTATAATAATTAGTTAATGAGCATTAAAGAAGTATCACGCATCAAAGCATTAAAACTTTTATAATTTACTCGGCAATTATTGTACGTTTTTGTCCACAGGAATTAACTTACCGGGATTAAATCATAGTTGTAATGGTTTGTTTAATCATAGGGATTTTAAGTGGTAATTGATTGAAATTTTCTTTTTATTTTTTCTTGTGTGTAAATTTTGTGAAAAAATTTATGTGTTAACCAGTGCCTCCAAAACATCATCTCAAATCCTTATGGATAGGATCGAGAATATCAAATTCCGATATCATGATGACTCATGATCCTCTTTGGAGTTGTCTTGTCGTCAGTCTTACCTGTGTAATAAACCTGTATATTAACCCTCTACCGCCTGACATAAGTAACCGGAGCAATATTGTCACAAGCCTACCCAAAAAGATACGTTCTTGTGAGCGCAAAATGACTTGCACTGATGGTTGCCGCCACGTACGACAACTTTAAAATGTTCTCTGTTGCGTACAAACGTCTTCATGTTGCTACACTTCAATAGTTTACGTATAATTTATGTTGAAAGTTATGTTCGCGGAGAGTGGCAAACGGCGGGAGTGGGGTAAAGGAGGCCTGCTCTGCCCCATGCAGTCCCCAGCCTAAGAGCAGCTTTTTCTTAGATCAATTATCTTGTTCGGTTATTAGTTGCTCTTCCTGTTTGCTCTTCCGTTCTCTCTCATATTATTCTATTACCTATTCAGCTGTGAAATTTCATGCGTCAAAAATTGTAGCTGATTAAAAATTGTTAACTAAAAGTTGCATATTAACCTTTTTTTCTTTCTTTTTTCAGGTCCTGCTACAAGATATCAAAGTTCACGGTCCGTTTGTGAAGAGCATCGTAAAACAGTACGATTTACAGTCTTCTGACAAGAGCAGTCAAAACTTTTCAGAAACAAAATCCACTATCAAAGACAGCTCAAAAGTTTGCTTACCCACTCCACTTGACACCGCAAGCTCACTCACCACATCCTGCACCACCTCTACCACTCATCCTGTAATAGTCACTCCACCAAGCGACCTCCTCAGAGAAGACGACGACTCACCGCTCACGTCACTAGACACCATCACCCCACGGAGCGAAATATCCGAGTTTCCCCTGACAGCGACCTCGACTCCGCGCAACGTCGCGCCTTCTCACAGCCCTCAACACACTCAGCACGGCGCCAGCCACTCGACCAAAACAAGGAAGGCCAAGTTTTCCGTGCCCAAAAGAGCCCGGCAACTGGAGAACCGCTATCATCAGGTCTTCCTCAAAGCGCTCGAGTGGCAGTGCTACTTGGAGCAGGTCATCGCTGATTGCAAGGTAGGAGTCTCGGTTATTTATCGTTATCGTGTTATTATATGTTAGAAGTGGTTGTTTTTTGTACTAAATTGATTGTGCTTGGAGTGCAAATTGCTCTCATGTTTGTGCATAGGATTACTTTATTGATAATAGGAATTAAATCAACATTGGTGATTGAACGGGTGAGTGAAAAAAGGAAACTTTCAGTGGTTGAAGTTCTACTATTTACTCTGATATGATTAATAACAAATTTATCGTAGTCATAAATGTTTCGCCAAAGCATATAATCATTGTTAATGTGATGAGAACAATTTATTCGTTACAGAAAAAGAACATTCGCCATTTAGCGTTCGCAACTTTCGCCCTAGGGTTTTTTTAATATACTAAGTTCATCGAACATTCGAAATGGCCTGCGCCCGAGTTATTTCCTAGTAACAATCATACAGCACTCTTCGTTAATCTGATATATATGCTCATGAAATATTTCTCCATGCACCACGTGAAGCACCATTTCTCCGTCCTACGAAACGCGCTCTCACTGACCTGAGAATTGTTTGCATCCCCGAGTCCGAGAAGCTTATTTGTTCGATGCCCAAGGCGTCAATTTCAAACACGATGCCAGTAAATAATGACTTCAACTCTGTACGGCCTTCAAACAGGCTGCGTCTAACACGTCTTCCGCAATTCGTGCAAACAACCAACTGTGTTCAGGATAAAATTGTAATTTTTGTGTGGCTAGATCCTAATTATAAGACTGTTAATGCATGCATGGAAGCTCTTTGTTTTTTCCGATAACTGTGCGCTCATCTTAACTTTCACTTCCGATCCTTTTTAAACTAACCATCGGAATTTAAATCTTGTACAAAGTGGTAGCAGTGATTTCTTCCAAGCTGACATCTATATGATAGTCCTATTATAAATTTCTCAATGAGAACGTGAGTCCGATAAATTGAAACATTTTTGAACAATGCTAAGGTTCATATTCATGTGAGTAAAACGCGAATACTTTCATATTTCTTTCAAAACTACAAGTAAAAAAACTGCTTACTCATAGTTGAAAAATAATACCTTAAATTCCTGTCAAATACGATATTAGAAGCCGTTACTCTAATTTTCCGAGGTACACTGTGAAGTTATTTACACTTCTCTGTGGGTGTCAAGCTTTGGGAAGCGGAACCTCTATGCTCCGAGATGAGTTCTTTCGTTGTAAGTTATCACAAAATCTCCATCAAGGCTCGTCCTATATTATGGCATGTATAGGTCAACCTTTGGGCTGTTGAGCTTACTCATGCTGTGTAATGGTCCCGAGAGAGCGCGCTTTATTCAAGCTTGCGTCCATTACTGCAGGGCGAAAAATTGCACTCAGTTGCCCGTCTAGGACCGGCGCGTCTTTTGAAGGCTTCTGAGCGCTGCGGGTTGAGCTGCCGCGTGACTGATGACGTGCCAGAGATTGCACGGGGCTCCTCAATGGCCACTCAAATTTGACGGTGTTGGCAAAGCTTGTTTAGTTGGGGCAGTCGGTGTTATCAATCTTGAACTTCACTCCAGTTTTCTAATGCGCAGGGTTTGGTTCAATTGTAGAACTTACGAATAACGTCATGAAGTATTCTCTCTTTGCTTATCCGTTTTTGTTTGATTAACTTTCAAAACTCATTTTGATTACAAATACTAGGGCAAAATTTTATTTACTTGACTTGATCACAGCTCAGGGCAGAATTTTATTTACTTGACTGATTCACAGCTTATTTTCAGTCAAATGAATTCTTTTTGAATAGAATTAAAACTGGTTGTTTAATGATCGCAAAATTATTTTCTTCGTCGTGCCAGCTACATTGTTTAAACTCCATACCATACGATGTCATGAGACTCTTAAACTTCAGAGTTAGTTTGGCGAGGAGGCAAAATATTTCGAGGTCGTAGCTGTAAGTGAGCTGTAACGAGGTCGCACTGCTGTCGCATGAACAGTTTCACTTCATGACGAGGTAACTAGAAGCTGAACAATGCGCTGCGGTTTCCTGTCTACGTACGGCCATGCATGTTTGTCATTGGTCTTGCTTTGTGTGTATGATTAACCGTGCGGCACATAAAGCAGCAGAGCCATGCCGGAACTCTTTAGTAATTTTGCAAGAATTGAGAATATCTTATGAGGAAAATCCTATTTCAATTTTCCTTGTTTGCATTTTAGTTTTAGCAGCGTCGAGACATGTAATATTTATGTATTTTGAGAACTACGTTGTATAATGTGTGATAACTAGATTTGTTCGATAATTGTATCTGTAAAACAGTTCAGTCACATATTTTCAATTATTCATCTGATTTCAGAGTTAGCAGGTGTGCAGTTGCTTTTTTCAGGACTTTCCACCCTGAAATATAGTGTTTCATGCTTTTGGCTAGTTGCATTCTCGCCATTTGGTTTGTATAAAAAACGTAAAGCTTAGTAAGATCCAATTTACCATAAACCTTAATCGATCCGCATTGAGTTAAATAAGTTTAGATTTAGATATTTCCTTTATCATCGTCAATCCTGACATATCACGAATACGTTCCATCGGCTGTTAATTTAATTGATGTGGGACTCTATTAAACAAACAAAATGTTTGTTCAAAAATGTTCATAATTGCGTTCGTTTTGCGTTTCTTCTAATGGAATCCAAATATATTGTCTTCGTGGTTATCTATGTCGTATCATACCGTATAGCAGTTGCCATATAGCGTTGCATGCATGCAGGTCTGCTCGATGAATGCGCACCTTGTAATGCAGTCACTTATCAGATAAAACTCTCCACAGATAAGCAATAATTTTTCTCGACGTCAGCTTCATCTATAATGCCCATGTTCGACCGTAGCTTGCAAAATTCGTAACTGCTTATGTTGAGTTTGTTATAAGCTAATCCGCCATTGCAAGTAAAATCTCATGACATTTATCAGTTTTCATGGCTATATTCAATAACATCTCAATCACACCTTCACGCGCTACCGCTTTTGAGTCGAAGCATTCGAATTTCACGCCTTCAATGGAAAATTGGACGTTAAAAGTAACTTTTATTTGTGGAGTGATACTTCGAATTAACGCAGTTCCACATTTCACGTAGACAAGTTTATTTTTCGGGAAACTATTTTCTGGTAACTTCTTGATGGCGACCCATCGAGCTAGGGTGTAGATAAGACTAAATTAATACCTGATGCTTTTGTTCTCTCTTGTACTGGATTATAGAACGAGTTAAGGCCCAGAGAATTAACGATCGTATCTGCGCTAACCTCTTGCCTTGGGCGAGACCATCCCTCCGGCTCTTGTTCTCATTTAGCTTCATTGTAATAACTTTCATCATCTAGCGAGTCGTGTAATAAATTAACAGGTGTATGATCTGCGAGTATCTTAAGGGGCTGGCATTTACTTCAGTGTTGAAGTAAGCTCATGACTTCCATTCCTTCAATTGATTCCGAAGCGGAGTACCGAGTTCAATTTTTTTGCCCTGAAAGCCTCTCTGATCGAGGTCGCCTTGGGCTTGCTCGGGGAATAGTTTTAACGGCAGCAATTTGTTCTGCTTTTTTGAGCGCACTTGATGGATTTAGATGCTTTCAGTGTTCCGTTAAGATCACTTCTTTCATAGCTTTTTTCCTTTGAATGTGCTCTAAGTTATATCCTCCCTTTTTATAAGCTTCAAGTCTAACGATTTTAAGATACTTTTACTAGTAAATGGAAAGCTCGACTCGTTCTCATATCGGAAGTTACATCTCGATACTTTACCCTTTTAAAAAACTTCAGTTAATGCCAAGGCCGCTTTAAGCTCGTAAAGCAGTTGAGGCTGAGAGTAAAAAACGCTAATTAGTTACTTAATGAGCAACCGTGAGAAAATATGAACACTCACCGAGCATGACACCTCGATAATGGCTCCTCTGTCGTCCGACGTTCGTGGGAACTCTTCCTTATGTCGTTTAAATTTGTCATGTGTATTAATAATATTTGTGTATCTAGCTACCCCGTATGTATGTACACAGTTCAATAAATTGTAGTGATTTGGCAGTCAGTAGTGAAATTGTTGTATTAAGCAGTGGAATTGTTGCATTAGGGTAGTACCAGTAATGTATTTCTATTTTATTATAGATGAGTTGGAACGCTTCTTGTACTATTGAGTCAATTGAATTGAGTCACAGGTGTGAGGTCGAAATATTCTTCTGTATTTAGAATTTTTTGGTAGAAACCTTATAGTTACAGTACGTCATGCGCTGCTGCGAACACTTGTATTGGCGTCTAGCCATGATCGTGCTTGAAGTTGAAATGAGCAATAATTGAGCTCAAACATGCTTGGAAATCTGGAAGACTGGAGCTCCTCAATGTATTTCATACTCAATTCCTGAGTATCACTAAGTACTGTATCGTCTCTAAAACATCCAAAGTTTGCCAGCACGCTGAAGAAATACGATTTTGTATCATGATTGAATGCGGTAACGATAAGGTTTTCATTAGAAAAATGCCTTCGCTTATTAATGAAGCGAAGTAAAACTTTGATTTTCAACAATGATTTTGATTTTTTCACAATGATTTTGATTTTCTCAGTGATTTTGATTTTTTTCCGCAATGATTTTGGATTTTCCACAACGAGGCGATTTTCTAATTTAAATCTTGGTTGATAAGCGAAATTCGCAAAGCGCTTAGTGCCTGCTTATATAAGCAGGAAGTGAAATGACGAAATAAGTTTTTGCACATTTTTGGACCCTATTTAACCTGAAAGTTTTCCAATTATTTCAAAATAAATTTCTAATGTGAGTTACATTTTTTAAAAGTCTACAGTATTTGTCATTTGGATGTGCGTTTGAACGTTTGTATGCATGCTAGCGCTTTCTTTTCTACTCTTCAGTTCTGTCTATGACCATTTGGAGAAAAGGCGTTCGGCAGTCGCGTCACTCTTTAGAAATGCTAGTGCTTATACGTATTTTTCATCTATTGAACCCCATGCGACACTATTAGTCGTTGGCATGTAGTAGAGTAGAGAGTTCAAATGTAGAGTTAAAATCCCGGCA